CCGTCTGAGGCCGATCCTTTGGACCAACCGCAACCTTCGAAACTCGGTGGATAATGGACCCGCCCCTCTATCCTTCTCCACTTAAATACCGGGCTTTACTTTGCATGGTGTGCGGGCTTGGAATTTTCATTAGTTATTATTGCTGATATTATCCAATAGTGGATGTTTTTGAAGTTCACAGTATCATTATTGTCTATCTAATCCAAAAGATACAAGCAACCAATAAACTAATACCCTGGCACACTTTAATGAAATTTCACCTTTTCACAAATGAACAAAAATAAATAAATAACTCAATAACCTAAAACCTGTCGGAATCCAGAAACTAGGGGAGGCAAACACAAATGAGGAAACTATGATACAAGAAGTATGAAAGCAAAATAATTGACTATTGAAGCACCTAGAAGTCAACCCTGACGAGTTTGAAGGTCCTCACAGTTTTCATGCTCAAACATTTGCAGCCCAACTACTAGGCAAAATTTAAACAACGTTAACTGACACAATCCGTCACATGGAACGTATCTCTAGTACAAGGCTAGAAATGTTACTACATACCAGATTACCGACCAATCTTCAAAATCTCTTACCAAGTACTTTCAGGCTTCTTTACAGGAAAACTATATTTAGTTTAAAATGCTTGATATTAAAGCAACCTTAAGTTTGAAGAAACAGTTTCTCTCAGTGTTTTAGTGTACGCAATCAGATCAAATAAACTACACGAGGGTAAGCATAAGAAGGAACCAGTAGACTGCCAGATGCCAACTGTTAAACTGCCACGAGAAATATTTATCCTCTTGAATAATCCTAAAGGTAGAAAATGACCAGAATCTCACCAGATCACTACGCTCGACAACTCTCCAAAGCTGTCTCCAGATATCCAGGTTCTTTTCAAAAGGGGTGAGAACCAGTTTCTCATTCTCTTCAAGCCTATATAATTAATTTCTGTTAGAGCAAAAAATGTACATAAACAGAATTCACATGCTAAGCAGTAGCCCAACATAAGATGAGGGCCTATCTGAAAGCTCTCAATGTACTATTGATACATTTTCCATTTTCTGGTCATACCTCCATCACACATAAATTCACTATAAGCAGATGGAAAATGCTTTAAGTGCAAATAAACCAGCTATTTTTAAGTGTACATGGAAAATAATGGTTGATGGATAAACTGAGAGGGAAGGTACAAATTCTCTTTCGAACATACACAAACTTCCTAGATCAATCTGCTTTGTGTACAGAACCCATAGTGACTAACTTTGAATGTAAGCAGTTATCCACAGGAAAATGAACACAAGATATCTTAAACATCCATCTTAAATTTACAATGTTCATATTCCTTGCCCCCACTCCCAAAGAGAGGAAATCAACAATATCCATAAACATGCATTCACTAATGTAGCATAAGCAAATAAAATGTCTTCTCACAGAACTGACCTTGCAAGATTGCGGCGCCAAGCTAGAAAAGCTTGATTTTCATTGGCATCAAGCTCTTCTACTGACATTCTAGTATTCCATGGCGGCCTGAAAAAGAAGTACTTCAGACCCTCGGACCATGATACCAGATAGTGCACTAGATTAAAAAAGGATAACAATTACCTGCGTGGAACACGAAGACTGCTAGCATGCAAGGCCTCCTCTTTCTTCTGCTGCTCCTTTCTTTCTTCAGGTGTCAGATCACCAATGCTAGAATCACCGTCCCTACAAAGTCAGGACACAACCACCATAAGTGTAAAAGGTAAGTCACCTTTCAATTCTGTCTGAGAGGACACTAAGACATAAAGTTATGAAAAATCAAACGAGCAAAGAAAAAAAGATCAGAAAGAAGGTACATGATATTTTTTTATAAAGCAGCAAAAAGATAGTACTAAAAGGACCCCAGTCAAAGATGAAAAGTGAAATGCTAAAAGGCAATATCATGAGAAGTGAAATGTTAGCATAAAGAAACACCTTCTCACAGATGAAGCCAATTGTTACAGGATCTCTATGGTTCACACTAGCATATTCTATAGAAATTAAGAAAAGCAAATTTAGAGCATTAAGACAACTGTGAACTTCACATGGTAAATCAAGCTTATTGAATCTGAAGAAAGAAAAGATCATCCCAAATGATCAAATCTTTTGCAGGGTTGACCATGACACATAATCAGCAATCTTATCTTTAAATTAGCTTCAACTTCCAGACAGCGCCCTAATTCCAAAAACACAGTAATTTTCTGAGGTAATTTAAACTGATAACACGAGTTCAACCAAACGAAGATAACATAGCAAACCCAGCAATAAAGCATGACGTGGAAAACCTTGTATCAAAACAACAAGTTCTGATTGGGATATTATTCACTTCCCATTAACTAATATGTATGACTTAGGTGGATTTCCTTCGCAGTTCACATGAACTTTCTACTGCTCCACTTCCTTTTAAATTCAAAACTTCATCTACACCAATCAAGTCACTCCTTGAGTTAATAATATCTCTCGATAAGAGCTAGAACAGAGTCACATATGTTAGTGGATACTTCTTCTGGATCAAAGTATCCTCTAGGATTCTGATGCTATCTACATACATGATGCCCTTCGGACAAAGCTGTTGAGATTTCTTCACTACTAGTAGTTTATTACAGTACATCAGATATAGAAGCCTTCAGCTAAGGAACATTTCAACTGGAGAAGAAGTTTTATGGCTTCAAATTTAGAAACAGTCGTGGTGAATGAGCCACAATGACTAAGCAAGAGTGACACAATAGCCCCCCTCTAGTGCGTCCTTAAGTAGCTTATAAAGACTAAGAGACAGGTAATGAATCTACTATCTATTGTCAGCTGTAGTCAGGGCAGATATGAAAGTTAATTTCTTAGTCATTACATAATGCATCAATAGAAAAAAGCAATACACACTCAGGATAGAAGATGGAATACGATCTTCGCAGTATCAGCCTATCACGCCTCTGATATAGAGACAGCACAGCTGGAAAGATATATGTTATTTACTTAATTCTCATGCTTAGATGTGGTTTTATGCCACTGAACACGTTGATAACCATGTAAATGATCTGTAGGAACTTCTATTCCTTAAGGTTCTCATAGAGGAACCACAGGAGAAATGTATTTCAGCCACGGAGCTATTGAGACAGTAGCTTTATGAAAATGAGTGTTTAGTATCACTATTGAGAAACAGTGAGCATTATTTCCCATTTTCTTGAAAGATGTTGTATTCTTTTATTTTTAATGGACTACCTCTCACATAGCAATTCAACAACAGCCAAGGCAATAGAGAGCTCTTTCCTTCACCATTCAATATATGTTTCAACAGGGAATCCTTCTTTACCATTCCATAATGTTTGCACATGGCACAGCACGTTGTCATCCGTGCAAAAATTGACTTCGTCGGGAATGATGCATATGTTGGCAACAAGTCAAACCCCTCCACAGTCCACACTATGATTAAGCTAAATTGAATAACATCTCACAACAGAACAAACAAAAGAGTAAGATAATCGCTCAGGAAGGGGCCAGCAAGTCACTTATTCTTTCGAAATTGTATGGGGGAGAGGTGATTAGGCAAGATATGGCGCTACTTCAGCTCACTGAGGACATGATCCAGGATAGAAGAGTGTGGAGGTTGAAGATCAGGGTAGTTGGCTAGTAGGTAGTCGAGAGTTCCCTGTTCTTTTTTAGTAGTATTAGTAGCTCCCTTATTTTTTTCGTCCGCTCTGTGTATCGTATGTTCCATTCTGTTACTGTTTGATGCTACTGTTTGATGCTATTTTTTGTTACTAGTTTCGTCGTTGTTGTTGTTCTGTCTTTCTCCCCTTTTCCTTATCGTCCGTTGTCCCACTATTCTTTCTTTCTTCTTTGCCTTCTTCCTCTCTCTCTCTTCACCTTTTCTTGAGCAGAAGGTCTATTGGAAACAGCCTCTTTACCTCGCCAGGCAGGGGTAAGGTCTGCGTACACACTACCTTCCCCATACCCCACTTGAGAATCAACAACAAACTCCCAACCTCATACAGTACCCAATTTTCTCCTTTTGTTAAAATCCCGATTCAAAAAAAACAAACCAAAAACCTGCAAGCATTACAACAACTCTCTAGCAACAAACTAACTCCCAAGCCCCCCCCCCCCCCCCCCCCCNGAAAAACACACACCAACAAGATACATGCTTATCAACAACAAGTAATTACAAAAAACGATTTCTAAGAAAATATCTCAACTTTACTCAACTTAAATGTATATTAAGGCAATTCCCAAATACCCAATTCTCTATTTTTCTCAAAGATCAATTAGAAGAAAAGAATATAAAGAACAACATCCCAACTTTACTCAACTAAAAAATAGATTAAGGCAATTCCCAAATACCTAATTCTCTACTTTTCACAGTAGTCACCCGAAATAAACAAAAGCCAATAAACCCGACAAGCATAGCAGCTCTCGACAACCCAAAGAAACAAACACACACAGAGACATATTTACGAAGAATTACCGGTTTTATGACCAAAATTTAATTAAGAAGCTGAGTAAATAAGAAATGTTTAATTAAAGGGGGGTGCTTACAGATTGACGAGGAGTTTAACGGGAGGATTAAGGTCAGAGAAGACGCGTTGAGCTTCATCTGACTGCTCTATGACGGCCTGAATATCAGTGACTTCAGTGACGGACTCCAGAATCTTCTTGTGTTGGTTCCTGTAGAACCGTCCCTTCTCTTTCGACTGTTGAATCATTTGGTTATGGTGCCTCACCAGTGCCCTCCCTAACGTACTTTTCTCTCCTTTCCCCATTACTTGCTTCTCCTTTCCCCTTTCTCTTTAATAAAATTATCAGGAAAAAAATGATTGATGAGCGAAACCCAAATACTGCTTTTCGCTGGAGGCTGTGGGAGAAATGGGCGGTGGTACTGTAGCGGGGGCGGCTGAGAGGAGTTGTAGAGCGGGGAAGAGGAAGAAGTTCCTAAAAGGGACTTCTTATTCCCCTTTTTTTATTTTTTAAAATTTTTAATAATAAAATGCAATTTGACCCTATTACTCCATTTTTTGAACTTTACTTTTTTCCATCCATTTTTTGGACTTTATAATTTAGTTAATTATGAGCTTTTAACATATTTATTGATCAGTCAAAAATAATTATAGTAAAAATATATATTTGAAATATACATAAATAAATATATTTATCGACTATTATATTTTTAGGGACGGTTCGATTTCCCTTAAATTATTTCACTAGCACCCGAATTTCTTGTTCCGCATAAACATCCAAAACAAGAAGCTTTTTTTAAAAGAAAACTTACTACGACTGTATTAGACAATAATAGCGCAATTAGCACCAGAGTGGTCACAATTCAATTTGATTTGATTTTGTGAAAAAAAATTAAATTTCTTATGTCAATTTGCTGAATATACAAGTCAAAATATAACAAACTAGTTTCATTTCGCTCATCATCCTCATTGTTTCTTATTGGTTGCTTTATAAATACAAAATTTAGGGTGTAAATGTCGAATATAATTCAAACAAATAATAATTTACTATTAAGCCGAAATCACAACCCTCTTATCATAACCTAGTGGTATTATAGTGTAGCCCCATGCTATATGTGCCAAGATGCCATGTATGAAGGCACAAGTATAATAGTTCTTTTCTTGAAAAGAAAAAAAAAGTTACTATCTTCAGAAAGTTTGATAAAGGTCTGTGCGGGGACTGTAAGGTCCCGAGTGAGAACCTCACGACTCAGCATTGGCTTCTAGTCATGGACTTGAAGATTATGAGGAAGCAAAGAAAGAGGGTTATGTTTGGTATACCTAGGACTAAGTGGGAAGCTTTGACAAAAGACAGAGCACAGAAGTTGGGAGATAGGTTTCTCGCAATGAGAGCATGGAGGAATAGTGGGGATGCGAGTAGTATGTGGACCGTGACTGCGAATTGCATTAGGGAGGCTGCTAGAGAGGTATTGAAGGTCTCAAAGAGCTCATCTGGTGGTTGTAAAGGGGGTTGGTGGTGGATTACTGAGGTTCAAGATAAAGTGGAGGCTGCATATCTGAAGCTTCTGAAAAGCGTGGACGAGGAGGCGAGGAGAACGAATAGGGAGCGATATAAGATGGCTAAAAAGGAAGCGAAGTTAGCAGTTACTATGGCCACGACCACTACATTTGAATGCTTGTATGAAGAACTCGGAGGTAGAGGAAGGGATAAGAAGTTGTACAGGCTAGCCAAGGTGCGAGAAAGGAAGGCCCATGACCTGGACCAAGTGAAGTGCATCAAGGACGAGGACGACAGAATTTTGTTGGATGAGATACTTATTCGACGTAGATGGCAAACTTACTTCCATAAACTCTTGAACGAATAGGGGGATAGGAACATTGAGCTAGGCGACTTAGAATACTCTGAGTGTCATTGGGACTTAAGATATTGTAGGCATATAAGAGTTGAGAAGGTTGAGGGGGCTATACGTAAGATGAGCAGGGGGAGAGCGACTAGCCCTGACGAGATCCTGGTGGAATTTTGGAAGAGCATGGGTAGGGTGGGCTTGGAGTGGCTCACTAGGTTATCTAATGTCATTTTTAGGACGAAGAAGATGACTGAAGAATGGAGATGGAGTGCGATGGTCCCACTATATAAAAACAAGGGTGACATCCAAAGTTGCAATAACTACCGAGGCATCAAGTTACTAAGCCATAATATGAACGTATGGGAGAGGGCGGTGGACCTGAGGTTGAGGAGGATTGTGGATATTTCTGAAAACTAGCTTGGATTTATGCCAGGACATTCGATTATGAAAGCTATTCATCTTGTTAGGAGGTTAATGGAGCAGTATAGGGAGAAAAAGAGGGATTTACATATGGTGTTCATCCACTTAGAGAAGGCTTACGATAAAGTGCCAAGGGAGGTTCCAAGGAGATGTTTGGAGGCTAGAGGTGTTCATGTTGCTTACATTAGGGTTATTAAGGACATGTATGATGGAGCTAAGACTCGAGTGAGGACTGTAAGAGGAGACTCGCAATGCTTCCCGATTATGATGGGTTGCATCATGGGTCAGCCCTCAGTCCATTTCTATTTTCTTTGACTATCGATGCACTGACGCGCCACATACAAGGAGAGGTGTCGTGGCGCATGTTATTTGCAAATGATATTATTCTGATTGACAAGACACGAGAGGTGTTAACGAGAGGTTAGAGATTTGGAGGCAGACTCTAGAGTCTAAAGGTTTTAAGTTGAGCAGGACCAAGACAGAATACTTGGAGTGCAAGTTCAGTAGGATGACTGAGATTGTGGACGAAGAAGTGAGGCTTGACTCTCAAGTCACCTTTAAGAGAGAGAGTTTTAAATACCTTGGGTCAGTTATACAAAGGAATGGAGAGATTGACGAGGATGTTACACATCGTATGGGGCGGGATGGATAAAATGGAGGCTCTCTTCAGGTGTTTTGTGTGGTAAGAATGTTCAACCTAAACTTGAAGGTAAATTTTATAGAGTGGTGGTCAAATCGACTATGTTATATGGGACGGAGTGTTGGCCAGTCAAGAACTCCCATGTCCAAAAGATGAAGGTGGCTAAAATGAGGATGTTGAGATAGATGTGCGGGCATACTAGGTTAGATAGAATTAGAAATGAAGTTATTCGGGACAAGGTGGGCGTGGCCCCTGTGGAGAGCAAGATGCGGGAGGCGAGACTTAGATGGTTCGAGACTTAGATGGTGCGGGAGCTTTTAACATATTTATTTATTTTCGTATTCCTTAACTTTTATGTTTACTTGTTGTTGCTTTCGTTCCGGCCTTCTGATTATAATACTCCATTTTTAATTTTGTATCTTTGTATTATTATTTTTTTTGATTTTCTAATTGGTGTGCTTGCGGCTGCCTTTCTTTTATTTTTCCTAAGCCGAGGGTCTTCCGAAAATAGCCTCTCTGCCTTCTTGTAGGTAGAAGTAAGGTCTGCTTACATACTGCCCTCCCCAGACTCCACTTGTGGGATTACACTGAAGTTGTTGTTGTTGTTGTTGTAGATAAACTAAGGGATGAAAGAAAAATTGATCGAAAATTAAGAAAAGCCAAAATAGTTTATTTTTCCTTTTCTTAGAATATACTATTTAATTCATAATGTTGGTAACTATTTAACAGAGCCATATGGGAGTACTTGGCAAGATTAGGTGAAGGGACACAAAACACATTAATTTAAACTAATTAGATAATACAGAAAATCGTAAAATAAGAACTTACATGTTCTTTCGCACTATATATTACAGTCTAAACACTAATGATATGTAAAGAAAAAGCTATGAAAGTCACGTCTATAGTATATCTATGTTTAGTTATACTTGAATAGAATATTAAGGTTTTACCCTAATGGGCTTTTAGAGCATTTTTATTTCCAAGAGATTTTTTCCTTCATATACCATATATGAAACTTTATTACCAAATATGTGCATAGTTTCTAATTTATCCGTCATGTTCATACTTTTTCTACAATTATTATATCATTCATTAAATACTAATTATTAGTAGCTGAATCTTCCTAATTAGGCGCGCTACAAATCAGGAACAGAATATTCTAATAGATTTAGCGACCTTCAGATCAAATTTGAAACGGAAATCCTTTATCTTCAATTTAAAATCAAATTACATAGACTCTTTTCTGCAAAAACTCTATTCTTCGATATTTTTCCTTAAACCACAAATAAAAAAAAAGACAAAATCGTCAACAAATTCGAATCAAATTATCGAAATCAGTTCTGCAAAAGCTCAGTTCGTCGACTTTTTTCCTCAATCCACTGATCAAAAAAGCGACAAAATATTCAACAAATTCAAGTCAAATTGTAGAAATCAATTATGCCGATATTCCGTTCTTCGTCTTTTTTTCTTAACCCAAAAAATCAAAAAACGACAAAATATTGAACAATACCTCAGTAACGACATGCAATCATGTCCAAAATCCAAATCATGCTACAGTTAAATGGGAATTGGGATAGCTATGACAGATTTAGAGATTTTCAAGTTGATGGCATTGTGCTCGATGAGGATGCAAGTTACAGATGTTGATTTCTACAATTGCAGAGCAATTAATGATTGATACTTCGGAATTTTTTTTAGAAATCAAATACATTGTGAATGAGAATTGTCCTCTAATGGAGATTAGGAACGATATGGGGGTTCGTGTGTATATGGAGACAAAAAAGGAGAATAAAAACTTAGGATCGTATCCGTCATGTATAAGTGTACGAGATTTCAATATGGAATTGACTATTACCAATGAGAACACAAGTGCATGTTTGTTATGTTTCAAATTTTATGGAAGTCTGATTTTACAGTAATATCTATAAAATTCCTACATTTATCTACAAAATAAACTACACATCAGTTTTAGGATGTATAAAGCAATATTATTTTCATGATTATCTACAAAATTACTACATTTATACTACAATTAAACTACAATCTATGTTTCTAAAATGTTGACTACAAATTTTTTTTCTTCATCTACAAATATTCTACAAATGTACTACAAATCAGTTTAAGTATGTATAAAGCAGTATTATTTGTAAGGGTATCTACATAATTACTACATTTATACTACAATTAAACTAAAATGTATGTGGAAAAAAATGTTGACTACAAAATTTTCTCTCATCTACAATTTATCTACAAAGATTCTACAAAATTGTAATGACACTATTTATCTTTATTTTCATGCAGGTTCGTCTGGGACAATAAAGTTACTTGATATGCCAGCCTCTCCCGTCATAGAGGAATATATGAAACTTTATTACCAAATATGTGCATAGTTTCTAATTTACCCGCCATGTTCACACTTTTTCTACAATTATTATACCATTTATTAAATACTAATTATTAGTAGCTGAATCTTCCTAATTAGGCGCGCTACAAATCAGGAACAGAATATTCTAATTGATTTAGCGCCCTTCAAATCAAATTTGAAACATAAATCCTTTATCTTCAATTTAAAATCAAAT